GATATTTGTGTTTCTGATGGATCTCTTATCTTTACCAACATTATAACAAAACATTTTTCCCTGAAGATGCATCTTAGGGTGTTGGTTTAGGTTATATTGACTTTGGTTCCAGTTGGGCACATTTGTGTAGTCTCCATACAGCTTCTTCCATTGTAGTGGATGGTTTTGTGCAGGGTGCATGCAGCATCAGTGAGAGGTGGTGCCATTAATCCCTGGTATCATGACTAAGATGACTGCAGGAGGGTTTAGTAGTCTCAAAATGGTGTTGTACAGCAGCAACATTTCCTCTATGTTAGAGAGGCTTTCCAGTTTCAAACTAGCCTGGGCTGGAGTGATAAAGTGGTTGATGTAAATTGCATTTTTCCCCATTGTTACAAGGCCATCCTGAATCCTCTTATTCCACACCTTCTCTGTTTCATCAGCCTTACCCTCCAGTTTTTTCTCCAAAATATTCTAGCAAAATGTCTATTGTTTATTCTTTGGTTTTGTCCTCTCTTTGTTGCTGGAAGCATGTTTACTCCCCTTAGTCAGTCATTTTGTTGGAAGTCCTCATCTGGATCTGTGTCTACAGTTGCTGATTTAAGATTATGGAAGGTGAGAAGTCCCATGATTTTCCATGTGCAAGCTGGGAACCAGGAAACCTGATGGCATAATTCAGTTTGAGTCTGGAGGCCTGAAATACAGGGGTGACAATGAGGTAAACCCTGATTTAAGAGCAAGAGAATATATTTGATGTATTTTTTCTATGCTTTTATTTAAAATATGTTAGAAGTTCATTTTTGGTATAGCCTTTATGTAACATGAATATTTGTTGTTTTTGTTATTGCTTTATCTAGGCTGGCTAATAAATTCTAGCTATGATTGTTTGTCTTTAGTTCCTAGAAATTAGTAATTATTATGTGTAAATAATAAGTAAGTGTAATCATTGATATGTTTGAGTTTAAATCTACAGTCTTATTATTTGATTCTATTTGTTACACCTATCCTGTTTCTCTCTGTTCTTGACTTCTTTTGGTTTGATTGAGGTCTTATTCTTTTCTTTGTACAGTATTAGGAACTATCTATTATCTTACAATTCTTTTAATTTGCTATGGATATTATATCTAGAGCAATATAGTATTACTATATTTAATGTGGTGGTAGTTTACTATTTTGTAATATAGTAAAATTTTCTGTTGCTCTTTATTCTATCTCTCATTTGCAATATTAGTTCTGCCTAAAGAATATGAATTAGTATTTCCTTTAGTATAGGCATGCTCATGATGAATCTTTCAGATTTTATTTGGTTTATTATGTTTTAAATATACACATGTACACACATACGAGGACACATGTATATTTTGAGATATAGATTTACCATCTGGCATGCAATTTCTGTACCATGAACATTTTCAATATTTTGTTTTTAAATATTACTTTATTTATTTATTTTTCATCTTTGTACATATCAGCCAAATTCTTGAAGCTTGAAAGGTAATTGTCATTTTCTCCTTTTAAGATAATTTTCTTTGTCTATGTTTTCATCAATTTATACTGATATTACTATTTGTGGCTATCCTAAGAGTCATCCTTTTTTAACTCATTGTTTCTTTTTCTTTGTGATTTGGTGTCTTTATTCAGAATTGGAAAGTTTTAAATATACATATATGATCAGCCCTCTATATTGTTCCACATTTGTGAATTCTACCAACTGCAGATTGAAAATATTTGGAAAAATTTCATCTAAACTGGACATTTCTTGCTTATATGGATTATGTATTTCATTAGCTCCTTTTGAATATTAATTTCCACAATTGTCTAATTGATGCTCTATTTCCTGAATTCTTTCACAGCAGAGAATGTCTATCAGTTGCCTTAATACTTAAAGAGAATGTGATTCTGCTTTCTATTCTTAAGTCACACTTTTACTTGTTTTTTCTTGGTCATCGATCCACTGAATTTATGACGTCATGTGCTGCTGAGGCTAACTGCATTTTTCTCTCCTCATAACTGATTTCTGCCTATTTTACCAAATAAATTTTGTACTTAAAAACTTAACTAAGAACAGGTTATTCTCAATACATTTAAATAAAATTTTCTTGAAAAGTAACATCCTTTTAAAACCACAGATTCAATTATTTTTTTCATTTCTGGCAAATTCTTTTTTTATGTTTTTGAAAACTTTTTATTCTATTTTGCAGGCATAAATGATCCATATTTTGGATATATTTGTCTTTCATGTCCATTATTATTTAATTTATTTAATCTGTGTCTTTTCTGCAACTTCTTCAAACTTTGTTTCCAATGTGATTATCTCTTCTCTGTAGGTAGTTCATTTCTAAGTCTCTGTTCAGTACAATGTTGTTTATATAATTATTGACATGATTCTGCCATGGTGTCATTTGGGTCATTTGTCTACTTCTATTTTGTTTTGATTTGTTGGATTGAACTCAAGGCTGCACTTGCTTGGCAGGTGCTCTACTACTTGGGCCATACTGCCAAACCCTTTCTGTACTTGTTATTTTTGAGATAAGGTCTCGCTTTACACCTGGGCAGGCCTGAACCATGATTGCCCTATTTGTACTTCCCCACCTTTCTCATTCCACCTCTCCTAGCCATTGGTTGAGATGGGATCTCCTGAACATTTTGTGTGGGCTGACTTCGATCCTCCAGGTCTCTGTCTCCTGAGTAGCTAGGATTAGAGATTTGAGTCACCTTACCTGGACTTATTTCTTTTGTTTTAATCTTTAACAACTCGCTATGTTAGAAACTTGAAAAATGTTCTTCTGTAATCCAAAACATTTCCACTATAATTCTTGCTTCTATGAGTTCTGTTTTCTTCAGAATACATTCTTATTGTTATTATTTATATGCTACTGTGAAGCAGATTGGCCCATAACTTACAATTTAGAGCACAAACACTTATTGGGTCATATGTTCACTGAATCAGAAATCTGGGAATGGCTTAGATGAGTGATTCTGTCTGGAAGTGGGACTGAGAGATGAGCCTCCAAGCCTACTTGTTCTTGGCAGAACTCAGTTTCACATATTTTTTAACATAATTTCCTTTTCAACATTAAGCTGAATTTTGAATTACATAATCAAAATGCACTTTTCCCAAATGCATCACTTTACTCACCATTATAGTTATGTCAGTGTGCTAGAGACCAGGCTGATTAGTTTTTACCATTTTGCTGCATTTCCTATAAATCTTTCATTTTCAAGTATAAGATGTATGCCTTCCTTTCTATGTTTAACATTCTCACTTAAAGAAAAAAACACTTAATGGAGAACAGCATCAAGTTTTCCCATACTTCAGTCAAGAACCAATAATTTTTGTTAGTGAGGATTAAATACAGAATAGCAGTTCTCAATACATGCTATGACTCCTTTCTCAAATATATTCTTTCTAAATTACATAAGTACATTCTAATTTAAAGCTTTAAAAGTACAGATATGTATAGTTTAAATAGTGAGACTTTGTTCACCACTTTTGTCTCATTTTACAGGGGTTACCACTGTTAACAATTAATTATGAATCAATCCAGACCTATCTTATGCAAAACTGTGTATACTGATGTGTAGACTTAAACCCAAGCACATAAACAAATTTAGATTTATTCAATAGCTACAAGCCATTGTAGATTTATAGACAGTAATATATGAGTGACTTCCTTCCATGTCAATACTACTACGTCTTGAATATTATGCATGTTTATTTTAGAGCTACCCCATAATTTATTTAACCATCCCCTTATTGATAGACACTTAACTTGTCTCCATTTATTTCCATTTAAATAATATGTCAAGGAACATTTTATACTGGTTTTTATTTGTGCATAACTGAATAATGGATTCATTGAAGTAGAAATGCTAGGTCAAATGTTCCTCAATATTCTGAGACTTGAAATTACACATTTTCTACCAAACTGAAATATCTTAACAGACAGTTAACTAAATTAATTGTACTGTGTTTTTTTATTAAAATCAGTGTATCTTTTAAATGTTATATTAACTGATAAGCCTAACTCATCAGAGACTGAAAGTGTGGGAAGCAGTGTAGAGTGTTTGAGGGACAGCAAGGATGCCAGCATGTTAGAATGAATTAAAGGAAGGGGACGGTAATAGAAGAAGTTCAAAGAGATAGAGATAAATCGCATAGGATTTTGTAGACCATTTTAAGCACTTTGGAGAGCTTTTTCTCCCTTATGAAGAATCTAAAAAGTAGTCACACATCTTTCTCCCACTTCCACTGAACTGTGGCTTTCATTCTGATTATCCCATTAATGCTTCAAGGAAAAAAAAAAAGAAAAAAAGAAATGTTTATCTGCTTTACATTGCCAAAACAATGACCTTATTCCTGTGCAAACTGTGCCTGACACTATTGGCTATATTTAATTTAGTACAAACAAAATGGCTTTCATAATTTAAAAGTGTATGTCACTTTTATTCTTAGTGACCTCTCCATTCATCACAGAATTGTTTGCCTTTTCCTTTGTACCTCTCCCAGTTGTGTTTTTTTTTCCCTTTTGTCTGCTATTTACTTTCAGATTTCTTTGTTAAAATCTTTACATTTCTTTTTTCTGTAACCTAATGTTTCACTCTTGGTTCTTTTCTTGGGTGATTCTCGAAAAGTTTGGTAAATTGCATTCTTCATTCCAAGTGAGTTAACAGAAAATTCTATTTCTCTGTTTTAGCACTCTTCCTTGTCCCACTGTTGTTTGAAAATAAAACATCAATACTCATCATATGCCTTTAAGTGTTTCATTCAATTTTTAATTGATAGATAACTATGCCCTTCAAAAAGATATCTTCCAAACCAGGTATGGAAGATACATACTTGTAATCCTAGCATTCATGAGGCTGAGGTAGAAGGAATATGAGTTCAAGACCAGCCTGGGATGCATAGCAAAACCCTGTCTCAAAAAAAAAAAAAAAAGTGTGTGTGTATATCTCAGGTAGCAGTTTAGACAAAACATGTTAGGATGAATGCATACGATAGTAAAAAATTTCTTTTCCAGGTGGTTTAGAGTCTTTGAAAAATCTTCAGCAACTAATTATGGACCATAATCAGTTAATTAGTACTAAAGGTCTTCATGATACACCTACCATTATACACCTGGATTGCTCGTATAATCATCTTACTGCCATTGAGGGCATTGAAAACTGTGGATTGCTCCAAATACTGAAGTTACAGGGAAATTATCTAAGTGAGGTAATTTCCTTAAATTAATTGATTTCAGAGACTAATGCTATGTTTTTCTTTCATAGAATACCCACACATTTTAAAAGTAATTTTTAATAATTTTTCTTTGTGCATGTTTATTAATCAGTGTTGACTCCCAATTTACTTTTAACTTTTTCATACTCTTCTCTATTTTAGAAATGTTCAAGTTATAATATTTTATAAATTTACCTTACTGCTAATTTTTTATAGTGCTAAAATATGATAAGTCATGTCTTTTGGGATTTTTTTAGTTATAGAACTAGGTGTAAATTTACCTATCATGAAAATGTAATTACATATTGTCATGAAATAGCTTTTATAGAGAATATTAAAAATATAAAATTAATTAGAAATTTTATTCATACAAAAGGTCTTATAATATTGTACATTAATTTAGGATTTGAAATTTGCCAGAACTTATCTGTTGCAATTTTTGGTAGGTTTTTTATCTTTAGGTTTGGTTAACTGACAAAATATTTTGCTAAATATCAACTAATGAATTATATTTAAATATAGCTTCCATCCTTGGAGAATCATGTTCTGCTAAGAGAATTGCACTTGGATGATAACAGCATTTCAACTGTGGAAGAATTTTCTTCATATTGGTTGCCTTTACTTCAAAATCTTACCATCTGTCAAAACAGGTGAAAGTATACTCACTGTAAGCAATAAATGTAGGCAGTAGTTGCTTAAAGTAAATAAGTGATGTTCCTGTATAGCTAGAAAAAATGTGTATCTCAAATAATTCAATGGGAGTGCATAAAAATAAATTAGTTCATTAATTACAAAGTACCTTTATAAAATTTTAAAAATTGAAGTGATGGATTACCACAACCTAGAATTTTAGTAAAATTTTAATTGTTAATTTATCCTCCTCATTATGTTTCTTCTCTAAGATGTACATGTAGAAATCTTTCAGGACAGATTTTGTTTACATTTGTAAAGAATATATATAGTCACTGGAAATACAGGAGGTAGCTAATTTAATTCAGAAGAATGTCTCATTTTCTCAAATGGTACTTATTAAGTCATGAAAGAATGATTTTTAATCTGCTCTCAACTCGAATGTCTTTTTGTAACTGTTAAGATGGATTCAAATTTGATTTCCCTAAGGCTATAAAATAACACTTAAAATGCCTTAACATTAAATTGAAATCTGTACCTGCTTCAGAAGATTCATTTGAGACCACCAAACATCTGGTTCTTTGCTCTCAGAGAATAACTGTCTAAAACCAAAACAGGAGCAGAACATGTGTACTTCTCTGCTTAATAATTCATTGAAAACTATCCACCCTAATATGATTAATTTGTTCATCAAAGGCACATGGACTATGAACCACCTTTAACAAGAAATTGCTTCTTTGAGTTATATAATGCTTACAAAACAAGTGAATAAGACTAACCTGATGTTACATGTGTATGTTATATACCTAAGCCTTATATGTATGTATGTATAAAGGAGATAAATGTATATGTAACTCTTTACTAAGGCATCTAAACCTGTATCTCAATCTGTATCACAATAGTATGCAGTCTGTGAGCAGTGATTTAACTTCCACCTACCAAACATCAACAATTGAAAATTGAATCTATCTTCAAATATCCCCTCCCATTGCTTTAATACATCTAAAATATGAAAGTCTATTTTTGTTTAAAAGCAACTGTTTGAGTTTAAAGCCAGCTCCATCAGGTAACATTATGTAGGTAATATGTGCCATCCATGAACTCGTCAGATCTTTTTGTAGTGTTTTTCAGGTAAGACATACAATTTCAACATAAAATACTCAGGCTTGTTTTGGATATATGTAGTAAATCACTCAGATATATTTCATACAAGTGGATCTCAAACCACATTAGTGACCACAAAAATATTTAAAGAGATTAGAAAATATTTAAATGAAGAATATTTTAAGTAAAAATGCCTTTAATTCCTTTGAACAATTTATGTCATTATTTCTAAAAATTAAAATTAATTCTGGGTGATTAGTTTTGTTCTATCATTTTCTTATGGCTTGTACATATCAATTTGATGTAAAGGGAATTATTTAAACCAGAGTATTATTTATTTTTAGAATTTGTCAGGATAATCATTACTTCTAATGATCCTTATTTATGATTTTTTTTTTGCCTAGACATGTAACATTCAAATATTGAAGTGTGGTCTACGATTCAAGGTCAATACCCTCAAACAGTTTTAGAGATTAAAAACTTTAATCTTTCAATTTTAACTGCCACTGTTTCTGAGAGAGTAAAGGGAAAACTTCTGAAGGCATCAGTGAAATGTGAATGGTGGGATGAACAAATAGGGTAGTGAAGCTATTTCCCAATATAGTGTGAAAATTATCTTCAGATTTTAGGATTTTTCACAGCAGACTTAATACTGTAACTATAGAAATGATCCATCTAAAATTATGCTTTTATATGTGCATTCACATTTTTCAGAGCCATATCAGGTTTGACAAAACTTTGAGTCAGAAGATCTGGGTTTGAATTTTGAATCTGTGACTTATCAGTCAGTTGATGTTGAGTAACTTTATCCTCACTGTCTGAGCCTTATTTTTTTCCCCATGTTTAAAAAGGGTAAGAATGCCTACCTTATCTGTTTTATAAATTATATTGCTGAACCAAATAGGCAAAGTATGTGAATAAATTTTACAAAATTGAAAAGAATTTCACAAATACATGCATTATTTGGATTTGTAGTTGACATGGCTTTTAAATTGTATATATTTTCTTTCAATTTTTGATAAATATTTTCATCACAAGGAAGAAATTATATATCCATGTGCTTTTTCCCCCCAACAAATGGAATACATATAAAGAATGATACTTAGTACATATTGCTTGAAATGCTTGTTTCATCCTGTCTTCTGTTTTAAATTTGCATTAGGACATGTGACTGTTTTAAGTTTGACTCCACGGAGTTCTAACTAGAAGACTCTGGCTTTGTAAGCTTTTCTACTTCCAGCGAGACTCTAAATAAGAGCAGAAATTGAAAACGATTACCCATTGGCTGCTCATTGTACAAATCTTTTACTTTTTGTAGTCTTTGAAATTTATATCTTTTTAATGCCCAGGGCTAATGTGACAAGGTCAAATGGTATTAAGTTTTCACGAATGTCCTTTGTCTTTCTGGTTTGAGTTTTCTTGGAAAAAGTATACACAGAATGTCAGTAAAAGGAAAAGTTCTAGAGGTTTGAGGAAAAAAAGGATTCTATGATTAGGTTTCTAGCATCCTAATGAATAGTCATAAAGGTGGATGAATCACTAATTATCTTGATTAAAATTTCAAAGAAGATAATGAATGTGATTTTAAAAACATGGTTCTCTAAAAAAAAATTCAATATTGCAAAGCAATATTCATAGCAGATATTTCTTTATGTAGATTGATTATTGTCACGTGGATATTTATTGATTTTTTTAATTGTAAAAGTTTGTTATTTTCTAGTGATGTTTTCATATATATGTCACTATATTACTTGTAACTTAAAAATATGATCTACTATGAAAGAACATAAAAAGCGTATTATGAAGGATTTAATATGCCATTAGCAATTGATCTTTGAAAATCCTTGACATAGAAAGCAAAGAATTTTTATTAGAAACATTTAAAGTTATAACAAACAAAAAAGAATTTTCTTACTAATAAGTACTTTCATGTTTTCAATTGAATAATTTAAAATTTCTTACTTACCATAATGATCCAGAACATTCCTAGGCAAGAAATGTTAGAAGATTAAGACTTAAAACCAATAATTATGTATTCCTAAAGTTTTAATTTCATATCTCTTCTTCTAACCCCTCCAAGCCTTCCTTTCTGCCCTCCTTACTTCTCTCCCCTCTACCTGTCTTTTCCACTCTTTGCCCTCTTCCTTGCTTCCTTCCATATCCATGAGACATTTCAGTAAATTTACTGTTATGACTAATATTTTCTCACATTCTATTTTAGTACTTCGGATTTTTTTCCCATGAAAACTTTTAAAGAAGTCCTGATGTATAGGTTTAAAATGAATAGTAGCATTGTACTCAGTATTGACAACATTTAGAGATGTTTTCTTCTGGCTTCATTACTTAGTCTATTTTTTTTTATCAGTAGTATCTTCTTTCTCTCTTCTAATGCAGAACAGGTAATACAAGAGAGGAGTCAAGATCAACACAAGGGTTTGTCTTGTGCTAAATCCTGTGAGGTTTTCAGTGACAGTGTCCCTTTGTGGCTTTTGGGCTTCTGACCTTATAATAATAGTTTAAAAAAGAAACATAAGCAATGGCAGGAAGTTCACAGAAATAAAGAAATAAATGACAAATGGAGGGACAGTAAAAAACAAAATGAAAGAAAAAGAAGAAAAAAGAAGTGAAAATTAATGAATACCTTTTTTGTACCAGAGTCTCATTTAGATTAATTATGTTTATTTTGAGCAGTGAAAAGAGTTCTAGCATTTATTGGGGAGATTAATTTAGAAGACTTTTATAATTTTCATGAGAATATATCTTATGCAAAGGAGTTTTGGCTTGCTTAAAGATTAAATACACTGACTTAATTTAAATTCCCAAAAGCAACCTTCATGTGATATTATGTTGCAAAGTATACAGTCATTCTAATTGGAAATGTGAATCAAACTACAGTTAATTTTCCCTGCATAGCTTTTGCTTCCATTGATGTGTACATACATTTTCAATATTATTTATGTTTCTTTCTTCAATATGAGTTTTTAATGACAATCATAACTGAGAAAATGATTTTTAAAATCTTCTAAAAATGGAAGAGTTCATTATTATAATTAAAGCACACATTGATTAGTGATTTTAATTAACAATATAATTCTGCCAAATTTAAATCCATTCTATTGTTGTAAACCATTTTATAATATTATGTTCCTCAATCTTTCTATTTATTTGTTAAGCATATTTCTAATTTAGAATTAGACCCAATATAAATTTGGATACTTACAGTAGTTATAATACTTTGAATCTAGTAGACAAAGCATTTTTCAATTGAAAAAAACAAAAGTAATGATTCTAATCTGTTTTCCTATTAAAAAATTATGTTTTTATGTGTGTACCTTAAAGGTTTAGGTCATGTGTTTAAGCCAAGAAAGAAAAAAACATGTGTGACTTCGGCTTTACAGAAATGCAAAGCAAATTAATAACCAAAAGGCTACTTATTTTAAGTTGAATAGCAAATACACATCAAAGTCCTTTATATTTGTGACTGAAATTGGAAATTTCATGGTACTTTCTCTTTAAAATGAATTTAGCCCTTCCATAATAGAAATATTCCATGGCAATTTCTTCTTAAAAATTGAATAGAAGTTTTCCAGAATAGGATTACTTAGACTCCTGGTTACTGCATTTTTAATAAGTACTGCTAGTAAATGCTGTATTGTACAATTATAATAATATATTATTGTGTAAAATTTTACTTAATGATATAATTGTGTTAGAGATGAATTGTTATATAGTTACATCAATAATATTAAGAATATGCCTATTTCAAAACTGTAATAAATTTTTTTGTTTTTGTTTTCAGTTTAACAAAAATTGTACCACTTTTTCATTTTGTTTCTTTGGAAAAACTGGATGTCAGCAATAATTGTCTTTCTGGTAAGTGCAGAATAATATTTTAATTTTTTAGAAAATAATAAACATTTTTAAATTTCTGTTCCAAATATACTGAGGAGTTGTTCTGAATACATGTGTTAATGGTATTTACTAGTAATAAAATAAAGCAATATAGTAAAACATGCTGAAATAATTGAATTGAAATTTTCTTTCCATATTTAAAATAATATTACTTCCATATCTTTTTGGTAGGCTTAGGTAAGCATAACAATTACATTTCAACTTCAAAATCATATATCTTTTTCTCATGAAATAAATACACTATAGAAGATGAGCTTAAAAAAATCTTGTCTAACTTGTTGGTACCTAACAGATATAGAAACCCATTAAAAGCTTGCTAAAAGAAAAAAAATCACAAAATGATTTGACTAAATAACTTGAAAACATTTTCCTATTCCATCTGCAGACATTTGCAGCTTGAATTTGTTACCATCAGTTAATTTTGTCTTTATATTAATGTGTTCTCCTTTGCTATCAACATTCTTGATCAGTATGCATGTGATAATCCACCATACTGTTTTTTCAGTACTTTGTTCCCCTTTCTTTTTTGGTTGTTGTTGTAATGCAATATGTTGTAGCAATAAATTATAATTTGTTTAGCCATTCCCATTTGATTGATATTTTAATTATTCAAGGTTTGGGGTACTATGAGTATAAAGGCTCTATAGAAATTCTTACCTACATATTTTTGTGTACTTACATTCTCAGTAATCTTGGGTAATTGTAGAAGAATAGAATTCCTGGGTAACAGAGCAAACTAATAGCAAACTACTTTTCCAGTTTAATTTTGGAAACTACATTTTGCATTCCCACCAGGACTTTAAGACAGTTCTAATTTCTCCATTCTATTGTTTAGTATTTCATTGTGTCACCTCATTTGCATTTCCCTGATTAATAAACTCACTAAGCCTTTTCACACAAGTCCTGATGGTCACATCTATTGTGTATAATCACATGCTTTGCAATTTTTAAACTTTAGTGATTTAGCTTTTTCTTACTCATTTGTAAAAATTCTTTATTCTGGATGTATTTTTTTGTCAGATATACTTAGATGAGCAAATGTTTTTAAAATTTAGATGAAGTCTAATTTATTTAGTTACTTCATAGTGTTTTTGTCTCCTTTATAACAAATATTTTTCTAACTCCAAATATAGAAAATAATTTCTTATGCTTTCCTGTATTGTAGTTTCAGGTTTTACCTTAAGTCTATAATTCATTTTACATTAACATTTATATGTGGTGTAATCTGAGTTCATCTTTTTAGGTAGATATCTAGTTCTTTCAGCAATGCTTATTGAATAAGATTTTTTCATCATTGAATTGCTTTGGTGTTTGTCAAAACTTTGCTTTCTCCTTGGTTTACTTTGGGATGTATTTCTGTTAACTACTTTTCTGTTTTCCTATTTCTATATATTTCTACTAAATTGTAATCATACTTTGAACATTATAGATAATACAGTTTAGTGAATCTGAATGTTGTCTTTCTTGAAAAGATGATGTTTTATTCTGACAGGCAGTTGAATTAATGGTGGATAATTTTGTTGCTCTCAGGATTAGTTTCACTCTCTCTTAGCACAGGTCATTTTAGCTTTCAACTCTTGGTAATTTCCATACTGCAGTTCCCAGCTTTAATGCCAACTATGTAGTTATTTTAGTTATTTCTACATTTTAGCTGATCTCTTAGATGCTCAGTTATGCCTCATGATGGCTAGGTTGCATGGCTAATGTTTCCCTGTTGCATGAATTTTAGTTTCAATGTTTAGGTCTCAACAGCCTATCTCTGCTAGGTTTTGCAGAGTCTTATCAACTTATGTAACAAATAGCCGTTTTCCAAGGATGTGTGATATAATCTCATGCAGATATCTTCAACATGCACATGCATAATTTCTTCTTCATAATTTTCCCCATGAATTTCAACCTCAGTTCCATGTTTGCCTCTCCAATACAGCAAAACAGCCTCTTTGTTTGGGCTCCACTTTCCTACTTGGGAGCAATAATATTCCTCCAGACAGAAAGCCACTAAGACCATATGCTCATCTCATGTCTTTCCTTTCTCTCTGAGTAAGACTTAAAAGCAGCTACATCATATATGCAAATATATATGTATACATACATATAATATAGTTAAAAACATAGCTTAAAATAATGACATATGTGTATATTAAATATACTTAAACATAATTAAATATGAAGACATATAGTGTTATGATAATTTTCTGTGCAAAGGCAATTGGATAGGTTATTCTAGAGTAATTTATCTTAGATTTGTCAATTGTTTTTACTTTTCAAATTAGTATAGTTCTATGTAATTCTACTTAGGTATATATTCAATTTTACCTCCTATCCTATTACTATAGATTTCACTTCAGATTTCGTGCCTAAAATCTGGCATGAAATGTTCTAATCCCTTTACACATATTACCTCATTTAATCTTCATACTATGAGGTAGGTCTGAAACTGGATTATAGAGCAGGCTTAATAAATTCACACAGCTTCTAATTGGTAGAAACATAGTCTGACAACAGTATGTGTTCTTAACTCATTACAATCTTCTTTCAAAAGCATGTTGTTTTCTGTGAAAGAAATAAAAATATCACTTCACTTTAATAGATAATGAATAAATAAAATACTCATTAATTTATGATATTTTTATCTGTGATAATTTTCATAGTGGCTTTATTTCCTGTAGATCTTACAAGTGCCAAAAAATGGTTTGGTGACTGTTACTCTCTCCGTGACCTCTCCCTCACTGGAAACCCACTTCTTCAAGAAATAAATTGGAGGTAAGGGAGCATTTTTGCACCCTTGAGCATCTTTTGTTATCACTTTGGAAGATACAACTTGATCAAAATTGCTGTACAAATAGGAATTATTAGGGGAAAGCTAGTTTTAAAAATAATTAAAAAGTTATCTTTAAAATGTTTATGAAAATAGTTCTAAAAACATATTTAGCCTAAAATGAATTTCCTATATGGGTATGAAAACATAAGTGTGATCTAAATCACTGAATATATGAGAAGTTTAGTATAGTATTAACTTAGATTTTGCATTTATAGAAAAGAAAAGCATTTGTTGAGAACTACATTTTTGTGACTTGTTACTTAAATTATTATATTACTTAAATCATTCTCTTTTTGGCAGTAATTTGGTTCTGTTCTGTCCTGTTTTTTTAAACTTTCTGATTGACATGTAATTTTATCTATTTATGAGGAATAATGTGTTTGGATTCATTTATACATTAGGTAATGATCAAATCAGAATAGTTGGCATATATATCACTTTGAAGTTTTCTTTAAAAAGTAAAAGTTGATGTCCATTAAAAGGTATGTATTATAAGCATGTGTGAATTCATTCCTGTCCTTGGAATTCTGTAGTACTTATATGTAAATAAAGAAAGATATTCCATAATTTTTTTTAAAAGAATTCTTCTTAGAAAAAAAATGGTTTTGTAATTCAAAATTCTAGGATGACTACACTTAATAGCATATTGTATAGTTCAAAGGTAGGTGAGAAAAATCTTGAATGATTCTAACTCAAAGAAATAATAAATATCTGAGGTGAAGGATGTTAATTATGCCAGTCTGATCATTACATATTGTACGCTTATATGAAAATATGATATCATACCCCACGAATATGTACAGTTATTATGGTTCAATTAAAAATAAAGTCTAATATAATAGCATTTCCCCCAGTTGGTCAGCATTAAAGAAAATAATTGGCCATTTTATCACAAGTTAAATATAATAAATTTTATCATTTTTACTTATTAGTGTGATGATTTTTTAAACTGCTATTATAAGTAAATGAATATTTCTACAAACCTCAAAATGAATTTTTCTACAACCCAGTTCCTGTGCAATCATTTCCCTTCCCCAGTACTTTGAAAAGGTCTCTGTACTATCTTAGGGCATCCATCATTTTGGCTGGGAGGTATCTGACATTCTTATCTTTGTATGATTTTAAGATCTCCTTTCTATCTCTGGTATTTAGTGATTGGATTATTATATTTTTGTGCTTTTATTTAGTTTCACTCTACTTGGGGTTTACTTAACTTCTTAGATATGTAGATTTGTAGTTTACACAGAATTTGGAAAGAATTTGGCCATTATTTTTGCAGATATGTTTTCCACTTCTTTGCTATTTATTACGTCTTACTAGGACGCCACTTCTAATAGTATTAGACCACTTGAAATATCTCAGAAGCCACTATTGCTCTTTATTTCATTCATTTTTCTTACTTTTTCTTTCTGTGCTTTACTGTGAGTAGTTTCTAATACTGTAACTTCACATTCTATGATAAATGATTTGCTGTTAATCCCATCCAAAGTATTTTTTTTTCATTTTTGGATTAAGATATATCATGGATCTCCAGAAATTCATTCATTATTTCTCTCCTAAATATATTCATGTCTTCCTGAACCTTCTTGAACATAAGAATATTTTATTGGGTGTTTTAATATCCTTTTTGGTTACTCAAATATACTCTCACTTTCAGGCCTATTTTTATTGAGTTTTTCCTAATTTCGGATGATATTTATGTATGTTATGCCTGGTCAATTTTCATTGACCATAAAACACTTCACAAATTTTATATTGTCAATGCTTCATTTTGTAGTATTCCTTTACCTTCTATTTTGTGTTTGGTGTGTAGTAGCTAAATTACTTGGAACTACTGGGATGCTTTCAAGGCTTTCTCTTAGGTTATGTTAGGACAATCACAAAGAGATCATTAGACTAGTGTGAATTTAGCCGTTCTGGTCTGATGCCCACTTTCTGAATATTCTCCCATGTTCCCCTTGTATGTATCCTTCCAACTTCGGTAAATTTCCTACATAGGTCCTTATCATTCTAACTGTTGCTTTCCACTGGTTTCTTATCCTGATCTTAGGTATTTTTCTGTCACACATCCTCAGATCAGTACTCATTTGCCCAGGTCTGTGTGAATTATACCTCAGAATACTGAAAGAATTATGTCTACTGAAGAATATGTTATGTCCACTGTGGAATCTTCTAGCCTTGATAATGATTCTGGCCTACATTCTTGGCTCTTTTTATACTCAACAATATACATGTGTGAAATAGTATAAAATGATTGATTGTTCATTTGATATTTGTATCATATCAGGTCATGGATAGTTTAAGAAATAACCAGTTCACCATAGAGTATGCAAGGCAGAACTATCTATGGGCTATAACTCACCTTGATGAATATGGCAATATCAACATGCTAAATGTAGAAGAATTCAGGTAGGAAAATCATGTTCAGGATCTTCAGGATCAAATCAGAAAGACTTGTTCATTTATTCAGGCGGTGAAAATACAGCTTTTCTGAGCAAAACACAGCCAGGAGGATGAATAATTTTAAAAAATTATTCTTGTAACACTTGATCCTAGGGAAGAAAAAGTTGACCTTCTGTCTCAATTTTATTTCCCTACAATGTGTGGCTATATTAAGAAAGACATTATGTCTGGCTTATTTCAGATGTCTGTTTGATTTCATCCACCTGTAGGATAAGATAAGAGACACTGAGTAGTCTTTGTTCCTTCTGTTATCTGAGACCACCAAAATAGCATTTGTTGCCCTCAATGCAGAGAAACTAAAGTAGATACCTTAAAAGCAACTGAGGCCAATAGGAGAAGGGGACCAGGAACTAGAGAAAAGGTTAGATCAAGAAGAATTAACCTAGAAGGTAACACACATGCACAGGAAATTAATGTGAGTCAACTCCCTGTATAGCTATCCTTATCTCAACTAGCAAGGACTGGAGGTGTGGCTCAAGCAGCAGAACACCTGCCTTGTAACCATGAAGCCATGAGTTCAAACCCCAGTCCCGCCAAAAAACAAAAGATGCTTTAAATTCAACTAGCAAAAACCCTTGTTCCTTCCTATTATTGCTTATACTCTCTCTTCAACAAAATTAGAGATAAGGGCAAAATAGTTTCTGCCGGGTATTGAAGGGGTGGGGGGCAGAGGGAGGGGGCGGGGTGGGTGGTAAGGGATGGGATAGGGGGAGGGGGGAGAAATGATCCAGGCATTGTATGCACATATGAATAAAAAAAAAAAGATTGGTTTCCTTGTTAGGCTATCTAGTCTTTGGTTTACATCAAGTCATTCCTAAATTACTACTTATTAATAACCTTTATGCCACCCAAGAGTTATTATCCTTGCCCCAAAATTCTATTTTTCTTTCTTTCTTTGTTAAAATTCTTTGTTAAACTTCTAACATTACACACTATTGTTTAGGGAAACCTGGTATGTTTTCATGTGCTTTAGAAAATAAATTGTCAACTTCTAGAAATGTTTTTTTCATGTGCACTTTAAGCTATGTAGCATAGTAGAAAGAATATAACCAACTACTGTAGTTTACAAAAACATATCTGCAGACCAGCACCACCATTATTGCCTAAAAGCCTGTTAGAAATGTACTATCTTGAATACCATCCATACCTACTGAGTCAGATACTTGGGATGTTGCCCAGTAATTTATGTTTTAGCCAGATTTTTGGGTGACTCTGATACACACTAAAGTTTAGAAATCACTGTGTTTTTAAACAAAAACATTACGTTAGTTACTTTTCCATCACTGTGTCAAAGTATCTGAGAAAAACAGCTAAAAGGAGGTAAAGTCTATTTTGGCTCATGGTTTCAGAGGTTTCAGTCCATGGTCACCAGGCTCCATTGCTTTTAGGCCTGTGGCAAGACAGAAACATCATGGTATAGGGGCATAGCAGAGAAACACTATTCAGCTCATGGCAGCCAGAAAGCAGAAAGATTGAGCAAGGAACTGGGGCAAGATCTACCCTTTAAAGACATGAGCTCAGTGACCTATTTCCTCCAAATCATTCTTCCTTCCTAAACCTTCATTTATCTATGAACTTATCAGTGGATTAATCTGTCAGTGAGGTTAGTTCCCACAAGATCCAATCACCTGTCAATAGCACAACCAGCTAGAGATCAAACCTTCAACACATGAGCCTTTGGGAATATGTCATATCTAAACCATAATATACATCCAACCCACTGCACCATGCTATGTCATGCTGGTCTAGCAATGTAACTGAATCCTTAGTGGCAAAATAAAGATAATACTCTCATTGGGTCTTAGGATAATTAAAAGTTACAATACACATAATTTGTTTAAGTTAATTCCTAGAACATGATAAGCACACAGTAATTGACTATTTTCCATTAACCTGCTAACTAGTGTGTGTATATATATATGTTCTTATTCAGTCTTCAAGTATTTAGTGGACTCCTACAGTGTGCAGCCAGGATCCAAACATATTGGACATTATAAAGAAAATTTCAAGTAATCCATAGTTTCAAACATTCATAGGGATCTGTGTTTTAACCAGATGACCATGAAAACTAATAATGTTCACAAACCATGGTAGAGCACTTACTTTGTGCCCAATACTATTCTCAATTAACCCTTAAAATATATCTAAAGAAATACATATGTAACCTACTTATCTCCATTTTATAATTCAGGAAACTGGGTTATAAAATTCTAAATAGCTTGCCTAAGGTCACACAGCTAACAAGTGGAAGATTCAGGAATCAAACTTATGCAATCTGGCTCTTAACTCCAAGATCTTAGTACCAAATTAGCCAGTTAGGTGGTTATTGTAAGCAATGAGAATTCTTTTAGAAATTTTGAGAAACCACCTCAATTTAGTGTAACTATGTGGTTCTGAATTAGCCGAAGCAACAAACTTTGAGTTAGACCTCAGAATTTTGCTAAGATTTAAAATCAATTTGATAGTTCCTCCATGTAAG